GTCGACGAGGTAGCGAACTTTCGTAGTCACATCCTTGACATATAAGAGGCGGCTGTGTTCGCCGGCTACGGTTGCTGTTAACGCGTACCGGCTGAGAAGTTTCCCGAAATCTTATTCGTGTCAGTCGATTTTGAAGTCGGATAATTGCAAGGTTTCCTGCAATTTCTGGAAAACTTACCGTACTGGTTATGATGCCAGCACCAGTCGGGATTGTCTGTCTCTCATGGTCGAGAGCCAGAGCGCTTACGTGAAACGCTTCTACGCGGGGTTTTTGACCGACTACGGTCATTGCGAACTCTAAGATGTCGTGAAAGCGTGTGACATAGTTCGGCCATATCAGTCGAGGTCGATTGGGGTTTTTCTTTGACGGAAAAACCTCGGCCTTAGAAGATTGAGTGATTTCCAAGATTCGATCGGCAGATGCAGCTAGCTCATCTATGGCATTGTTTTGAAATGAAACAAGCACTGCCTGCACCTGTTGAGGGAGTTTAGACAAGAAAAGTTGTCTAAATAGACCATCATGGAATGTTCGTTGGCCGATGACTTCTCTCATTCTAAGCAACATGTCCGTCGCAGAACCATGTTGCAAGTCGATATTGTTAAGGAGTTGGTCTAACCGTTGTCGATCAGTTAGGTCTCCTCGTTTTAAAATCGATAGCTTAAGCGTTTCGTAAGGTTCGGAAACCACTAGTAAACATACTAGGTGTTACGTACCTGTTAAACTCGCGCGGTAACGCCTTAACTACCGCGAAGAAAACGTGTGCGCGAGTCTGTGATTCCGTGCATGCAAAAATCGGCTTCTCCATAGCAGAACCAGGACTCGATATTGTCTGGCCAAAATGGCGTTAACTGAATCGAAATAGGGGGAAAAGACTTAAACTTAAGAACCTTAGGAGAGTGTTCCGTCATAGTAATACAGATAACGAAAAATGTCTAAGTAAAATATATCCGAGAAAAAAAAATTCGCGAAAAAAAGTATATAACAATATATAAAATTCAAATAAAGAATAACAATGAATAATAATACTCCAAAATGGAACAGACTCACAGTATTTCGACTTAGTGTACCAGATCACGTCGGGTTCACCAATGATGATGCAACGGATGTTCTAATTTTACAACTACTTACCAGTAGCACCTTCTATGTTCGATCGATCCCAGTCAGATAGAAATCAGAAGTCAGACGAGAAGAGGCAGGAAAGATATATTTGATTCGTTAACAATATATCGAGGACCTTTTCTATGAGCTGGCTAATGAAACGTAGGAGCTGTGTCCCACGCCGAGTTGAAACGTGATCTGGTACGGATGCATGACCGAAAGCCTTCAGTTAAACAAGTCCACTTAAACAACATGGTCAGCATCCAATGTCGAACACTTAATGAGCTATTGATTTTGGGGAATTATTTACAGCTACAGTACTATATCGTAAGTCAGGTTGAACGAAAACATCAGTTGATTGGGGTCAAGTTTCAGCATTAATGTCCTCAATAGTTACTGCTTCTGGTCATCGAGTGAAACGGTCTACGCAGGTTAAAATATAATAGTATCAATTTGAATATGGTAAAGGTCCTACCAAATCCAGATGGACATGGTCGAAACGAGCATCAGAAGTTTTGAACAGACCTAAGGGACATTAACTGTGTCTATTCATCATCTTTTTTGCAGCTTACGCCCTTATCCATACCTGGCCAGCAAAAATGTTCTTCTATAGGCTTGATGGATGTATGAACAAGTGGCGGATGGCGTCGAGTCGCGATTGACTATGATCACTACTACAGGAAGATTGCGTAACAGGTATAGACCTTTGATGGGTCAAAAACCAGAAGGCTGTTGACGGTTGAAAGAATACCGAGACGTGCCAAAGTTTACAGACGGAACTGCCGAGCGCAAGCGATCTCTCGAAAGGTCACAGGCGGCGGAAAGGAAGTTTCTTCGGTACATTTAAGCAAACAAGCTCAGTAAAACAATCACTGGTACGATTAGTTATAGTAATGATATTTGTTTCCATTATACCAACCGCGTTCTTGTCGCAAAATAGGTCACTATAGACATTGCGCTGATAATATTTCTGCACGACTGGGCGATCCCTACCTGTAGATGTGTCACATAATAAGGTTTTCTCACCTGCTTCCATCTGTTAAATGCCCAGATTAAGAGCATTAAGGGCGCCTCAATGGACGCAGGAAAAGTACACTAAGAAGACCCATTAGGATTGAACTGGAGGACGAGAAAGCCAAATGCGAATTCCAGAAACAACTGAGTTCACATCTAGGCAGTTCTGTAAACAAGACTGACACAGATGCTGCTGGGAAAGACATACGAACAGCTGTGGAAACGGCAGTTACATCTATTAGTCATTTAAACCATAAAGCTCCAAAAAACCAATGGATTTCTTCTAAGTCTATTTCACTGATGGATTCGCGTAAACTCATCCCATCAGGCTCTGAACATGACGAAGAGCGTAAACAAATTAGATCTAGTTTAACTAAAAGTCTAAGGAACGATCGTGAGCAGTGGTGGGCAACGAAAGCAAAAGTAATGGAAAAGGCAGCAGCTGTAGGGAACACCAGGCAACTATTCAGACTAATAAAAGAAACGGGAATTAAGAAGTCAAGTGTAAGTGAGACAATCTCCGAAAAAGACGGAACCCTTATCTGCTCTCAACCCAAACGTTTAGAACGATGGGCAGAACACTTTAAGGAGCAGTTTAGTTGGCCTTCAGCTGCTGCACAACTACCCACTATTCCTAGAAAACCTGAATGGAACATTGAAGTAGGCCCCCCGACCCTACTTGAAGTTCAAAAGGCTATAGGTAATCTGAAACGAGGAAGAGCAGCTGGTCCTGATGGATTGACTGCAGAGGTCTTTAAATATGGTGGTCCGATTTTAGCGATAAGGTTGACTAATATTCTGGCTAAAATCTGGGAGACGGATGTAATCCCATCTGACTGGTCACAATCACTGATTGTCCCAATATATAAGAAGGGGTCAAAATCATCCTGCGATAACCATAGAGGGATTAGTCTGACTAACATAGCATCTAAAATACTAGCCTCAATAATTATCGGGCGCCTAACTAAGACTCGTGAACTGCAAACACGAGAAAATCAGGCTGGCTTCAGACCTGGTCGTGGCTGTATCGACCACATATTCACCATTCGTCAAGTTTTAGAGCACAGACACGCTTATCGGCGTCCGACAATGATAGTTTTTCTTGACTTGAAAGCAGCATTTGACTCTGTAGACCGAGAGGTTCTGTGGCAGTGTCTGTCATTGAAAGGTGTACCTCAGAAGTACATAAACCTTGTGAAGGCTCTTTACTCGAACACTACCAGTCGAGTGAGAGCTTATGGCGAACTGTCATATGATTTTACAACCTCAAGTGGTGTCCGTCAAGGCTGTCCACTATCCCCATTTTTGTTTAACTTCATTATAGACCTGTTGCTGGAAATAACACTCTCTTCGACTGAATTTACAGGAATTGATCTCTTACCAGGGGGACCACTAAGCGACTTAGAATACGCAGATGACATAGTCCTGTTTGGTGAAGACGCTGGCAAAATGCAGAGTCTTCTGTTGGAACTCAGTAATAATGCCAGGATGTTTGGGATGCGATTATCCCCATCCAAATGTAAATTGTTACTCCAGGACTGGCCTGCATCAACACCTGAACTAAGGATAGGGAGTGAAGTAGTCGAACGCGTTGACAACTCCACTTATCTTGGAAGTCTGATCAGCCCTAATGGGTTGGTGTCTGACGAAATGTCAGCACGGATTCGAAAAGCTCGTTTGGCTTTTGCCAACTTACGTCACCTATGGCGAAGACGAGATATCCGTCTATCAATTAGGGGACGAGTATACTGCGCAGCAGTTCGCTCTGTTCTACTTTACGGTTGTGAAACATGGCCATTAAGAGTAGAAGATACTCGTAGGTTACTAGTATTTGACCACAGATGCCTTAGAAATATTGCACGCATCTGCTGGGATCACCGGGTAAGTAATAGTGAGGTTAGACGCAGGGTATTAGGGAACGATGGTAAATCAGTTGATGAGGTGATGAATCTTCATCGACTGAGATGGTTGGGCCATGTGTTACGCATGCCTGAACACCGATTACCACGACGCGCTATGATGACTAGTGTAGGGGATTGTTGGAAGAGAGTTAGGGGCGGCCAAACCAAAACATGGCATCAGTGTTTGAAGTCACTAACTTCTAGTCTGAGCCATGTTGGCAGATGCAGACTACCTGGTTGGGGTCCGCGTGACTATCGTAACCAATGGTTGGAGACTCTAGGTGACATGGCTCAGAATCGATCACAATGGCGTAGGTGCATACGCTCTTTATATTCCTTTAAACCTTGAGACTAAAATTGCTTCATAACTTTTTTCCTTCCTATACTATATCCTTATATGCAACCTATAATTTATATACTACTACCACCACTAAATTAATTACTTGTATGAATCCGGTGTTGATCTTGTTGTGCTAACGAGGTATGGCAACTTGGACCGATGCATAAATGTGCCTGGTCCTACGTTGTAGCTGACTGACTGACTGACTGACCAGATTAAGGGTTGTTGAGGATAAGTCGTGCTGAAAATAAATGTATTCTTTTCGAGGCTGGGCGAGTTTAAGAAGGTCGATCCCTTGGAAACTGTTCAAGGAACTTATACAAGACAAAGCGTCTGCGACTGAATTTCTTGCTCCAAAACTATGTTGTATATCTGAAGCAAACTGCGAAATGTTGTCCAGTTGTCGAGACTCTCGGGGTGAGTTTGAGTCTGAGGATGAGATTAAAGAGAAAGTAAGAGGTCTATGATCAGTGAAAAGGTTGAATTCTGGGCCTTTGTTAGAGTGTTGAAAGTGCTTTACAGCACAAGGCATAACTAGGAGTTCCCTGAGGAAAGCGCTGTACCTCGATTCAGTGTCCAGCGGCCGTCTCGATAAAGGTGCCAAAATTTGCCAGGACTGGTTAACCCATTGTTGTAGCACTCCTCCAATTGCTGAGTTGGATGCGTCCACTTCGATACTAATGGACGCATTAGTATCCTGATGTGCCAGTATGGTTGTCTTGCGCTAAGTCCCTTAACTATAGAGAATGCTTTTCGCACAGTGTCGTCCAGATCAATGAATTTCGCATTTCCACGAAGTTGGTCGGTTAGCGCGCTACGAAGGGGACGTTACTTTTTGGCTATGGCCTACAGTTTTTCTTTTTCTAGGATTCTCACTAAGCTGGATGGATTATCTTTTCTTGGAATTACGGAAAATAACTCAATTCTGATTTGTTCATGTTTAGGCTGCAAATTCTATGCTATACGATAAGATCTTAAAAGGAAACTAAACTTATTCTTAAGGACTAAGGATAACATATTATTATGATTTACCAAATTCTTTTTCCCCCCTCTATTATCGTTCATATACCTAGGTTCTTGCCTGGAGGTATTGGTGATCCACTGCTACCAGGCACGGAAGCCCGTTAAGCGAAAGCTTCTTCTATTCCGTCCTCAACCATTTGAATCTTAGTTTTAACTTATTGATGGTATATATGATCATATTCATACAATAACTCATAATCAAATAATTGTATATCCATTTTAGCTATACGTTATAACCTTCCTCTGTTATTCCAAAAACCGTATATAATAATATTCGGCGGGGAATATAATTTCATATTTGTATTCTATTCATTATATCGTGTTTGGATGCTACAACACACGTACTTTATATGTTTACAGGATCTATTCGGATCTCTACCTAATATCTAGAAGTATATATAATCGTGTATGACAAAGCACTGTACTCACTATTCCGTATACTTTCATTAAAATCGTATTTGGATACTATAACTCAATTTCCGGAATCACCTGTTCAATTCGGTGAGTCTGTCATACGTTTATTTATTTATTTTTTTATGACAGTATATTTTGTCACCGTTAATGTTTTCCGGCTATTATTATCCATTGTTTTTCGACACTTTCACCGATCTTGACGATACATCCACCCTTGTGTTAAGCATAGGTTTTGATTACTAGACTTCAGTCATTGGCATTGATTTTTTTTTTCTTTCATCTCTATTTCCAAAATTTTGTTCAATACATCTGCTATAAGTCACTTTCTTATCATGCAACAAAAGAAAATAAAGGCCCCTGCTTGTAGGCGTCAAGCCAAACGTAGGAAAAATACACAATCTAAAATTGCTACTGACAGTTTCAGCGAGACGAGCTACTCCGTTCATCCGGAAGCAGACAAGCTTTTACCAGTTAACTCCATTCCAGACGTGTTGAAGACTCTGCTGGTAAACAATGATGATAATCAAAACTGCAACCATGCGAATGGTATTAAAAGACTGCAAGTTGACATGAACATTCTCAATCCCCTCAAGTATCTCATCAGCCCTAACCTCACAGAGACTCCAGATCAAATGAATGACATAAATGACTTCCTAGATCGTGTTGCATCAGAGGTATTTGAAAGAATAAGGCGATCTAGCAATGCAATCGTGTTTAATATACCGGACTCAAATGCCCTTAAAAATATCAAAACTAGTCCGCTTAGAGCCAGCAATATGACACACGTACCATGTGTATGCACAAGATTAAAAAGAAGCCACCCTGATATGCACTCACCGATCTTGTTCAAATTCAACTCATCTGTAGACGCTAGCGAGTTTTTAAATTCCTCCAATTCATTGAAACAGAAACAGATTTTCAAGGATATTAAGATTCTAACAGATAGAACACCATGTCAACGAAAAGCAGGTCGAGATAAATACAGACTACCAGCATCAGACACCCAAGCGTATCATAATCCTAAAGGTCATGAAATTAAGTCCGATCCTAAGCAGATATCTAACTTTACGAATATGCAACCACCGAAAAACTCTCCTGAATCTCCAAAAGTTCAAAACCCAAAAGAAAGTAGTCCCAATGTAGGTGATGCCCATCCTTTTAAGAATGTTGACTTAGATTCAACCCCAAGTAGTTGTACTGATTACGAATGTGATAACACAGTCCAAATCGCTGTTAGTGCAACAACCAGTTACAGTGACTGTGCAACGGATAACAGGAAAACTGGTCATAAAAATTATCTGCCTGACCACATGCTTAACGTCGATATACTCGAACCTTGCAAACCATCTCAAGCATTTTTAACAACACACGACCCTCCTCAAATTACGAAGGAGCCAAAATCAACCACAAACCTTGGAAATAAGCGTTTAGAATATGTTCTCTATACGTCAGGTATAAATAGCAATCTAAATTGTAAACGGCCACTTGGTCGCACACATAGACCTGATAGACTTCTTGGCCCAACTCCAAATATGTATACTATTCCTTTACCAAATGTTATATCCAATAACAATGAAAAGACTTTTTTGTACTTCCGCCGGCAACAGTAAGCATACTTCAAATGATGACAAAGTTGTTCCCGATTGCAACACAACTCCCACCTTAACTAATCCTACGAGTATTCATGAAAATACCAATTGTGATTTATACTCTGACCTGCTTCACCATGGTAATTCTCAATTTCTTATTCTTTCGTTCAATGCCCGCTCTCTGCCCAATAAAATTACTCACCTCAGAACCCTTTTATTCCTTGTAAATCCAACTATTGTACTTATTACGGAAACGTGGTGCAATTCATCTATATCCGATCACTCCATGCATATAGATAACTATGTTTTCTTTAGAACCGATAGATGTAATGGATTAGGGGGCGGTACACTTATCTATGTCCGTTCGGATATTCAGGCCTGCAAATTTGAGGATAAATCCCTTGATGCTATAGACGACTCCACCTGGGCTACTGTAAACTGTGGATCTCAGAATTATCTACTGGTGGGATGCATATACAGACCACCCCATGCAGACTCTAGGTTTGACAGATTACTAACAAACATCTTTTCCATTGCTTCACACCAACCGCATACTTTTAAAAATCATCGGAGGTGACTTTGATCTGCCAAACATTACGTGGCATTCGACTCCGATACCAGGTCGACATGAAAAGTTAGTTGAAACACTAGAACTTTATGGATGGGTCCAACAGGTCCGACAACTGACTAGAAAGAATAATATACTTGATTTACTATTTACAATCAACATAGATTCTATCTCAGTGCATATCAGTCATGAGTTTTTTAAGAGTAATCGCAGAGTAGTATTGTGTATCATTCATTCTTTCGACGCCATACAATTGAATTCTAAAGCTGAGATGATGTACAAGAGTAGACATTTTGATCAACAAACCTGGAAACGGACTGAAAGTCTTATTCATTGTTTACCATTGGAAACTTATTTTACCACAAATATTATTGACATTGCGATCTCTGATCAATACCACAACTTGATACACTGCCTCGACTGCACTGCTCCAATTATTAGTCATGTGGCTTATAACGCCAATAGGGGCCAGAATAATTTTAAAACTTTTAAAAGAAAGCTGAGTAAATGAAAACACAGTTACCACAAGCATAATGACTTGTATGCACTAAAGAGTATACTTAAGTTAATTGACAAGAGTGCTTCATCTAACCAACTGTTGGTCACCGGCTACCATGGGACTGCATCTCCTTACGATGCTCCACAGCTTGTGGACTAAAAATTTAGGTCAAAGGCTTCGGATGTGGCCCCCTACCACCTGCTTCAGTCTGGGCACCTGGGCAGTATCACAGCCCTCACACAAATCGAATGAGATTTGTGAGGCGCATATTTATCTGATGCTTCCTTGTACCAATATTTATGTGTTTAAATAAATAAATAAACTATTGTTAAGCACGTTGATATTCAATAGGTGACACAATCCACTTTCGGAAAGAAAATCATCAACAAGACTTCGGAACCGGGGTTATAATTTCACTGCATCGAAGGTTCATTGGCAGTCGATTCATCATGGTTCTTCTTCTGTTAACTATGAAGAATTTGGTCGCGCCAAGAGAATTTGACTTCACACGCGATTTAAAAAGCCGAAGTATTGATAATTCTGGGCTTTTATTACCTAGGGCTTTATTTTCAATATTCATAAAATACTTGCGTTTAGATGAAGCACTCTTGTCAATTAACTTAAGTATACTCTTTAGTGCATACAAGTCATTATGCTTGTGGTAACTGTGTTTTCATTTACTCAGCTTTCTTTTAAAAGTTTTAAAATTATTCTGGCCCCTATTGGCGTTATAAGCCACATGACTAATAATTGGAGCAGTGCAGTCGAGGCAGTGTATCAAGTTGTGGTATTGATCAGAGATCGCAATGTCAATAATATTTGTGGTAAAATAAGTTTCCAATGGTAAACAATGAATAAGACTTTCAGTCCGTTTCCAGGTTTGTTGATCAAAATGTCTACTCTTGTACATCATCTCAGCTTTAGAATTCAATTGTATGGCGTCGAAAGAATGAATGATACACAATACTACTCTGCGATTACTCTTAAAAAACTCATGACTGATATGCACTGAGATAGAATCTATGTTGATTGTAAATAGTAAATCAAGTATATTATTCTTTCTAGTCAGTTGTCGGACCTGTTGGACCCATCCATAAAGTTCTAGTGTTTCAACTAACTTTTCATGTCGACCTGGTATCGGAGTCGAATGCCACGTAATGTTTGGCAGATCAAAGTCACCTCCGATGATTTTTAAAAGTATGCGGTTGGTGTGAAGCAATGGAAAAGATGTTTGTTAGTAATCTGTCAAACCTAGAGTCTGCATGGGGTGGTCTGTATATGCATCCCACCAGTAGATAATTCTGAGATCCACAGTTTACAGTAGCCCAGGTGGAGTCGTCTATAGCATCAAGGGATTTATCCTCAAATTTGCAGGCCTGAATATCCGAACGGACATAGATAAGTGTACCGCCCCCTAATCCATTACATCTATCGGTTCTAAAGAAAACATAGTTATCTATATGCATGGAGTGATCGGATATAGATGAATTGCACCACGTTTCCGTAATAAGTACAATAGTTGGATTTACAAGGAATAAAAGGGTTCTGAGGTGAGTAATTTTATTGGGCAGAGAGCGGGCATTGAACGAAAGAATAAGAAATTGAGAATTACCATGGTGAAGCAGGTCAGAGTATAAATCACAATTGGTATTTTCATGAATACTCGTAGGATTAGTTAAGGTGGGAGTTGTGTTGCAATCGGGAACAACTTTGTCATCATTTGAAGTATGCTTACTGTTGCCGGCGGAAGTACAAAAAAGTCTTTTCATTGTTATTGGATATAACATTTGGTAAAGGAATAGTATACATATTTGGAGTTGGGCCAAGAAGTCTATCAGGTCTATGTGTGCGACCAAGTGGCCGTTTACAATTTAGATTGCTATTTATACCTGACGTATAGGGAACATATTCTAAACGCTTATTTCCAAGGTTTGTGGTTGATTTTGGCTCCTTCGTAATTTGAGGAGGGTCGTGTGTTGTTAAAAATGCTTGAGATGGTTTGCAAGGTTCGAGTATATCGACGTTAAGCATGTGGTCAGGCAGATAATTTTTATGACCAGTTTTCCTGTTATCCGTTGCACAGTCACTGTAACTGGTTGTTGCACTAACAGCGATTTGGACTGTGTTATCACATTCGTAATCAGTACAACTACTTGGGGTTGAATCTAAGTCAACATTCTTAAAAGGATGGGCATCACCTACATTGGGACTACTTTCTTTTGGGTTTTGAACTTTTGGAGATTCAGGAGAGTTTTTCGGTGGTTGCATATTCGTAAAGTTAGATATCTGCTTAGGATCGGACTTAATTTCATGACCTTTAGGATTATGATACGCTTGGGTGTCTGATGCTGGTAGTCTGTATTTATCTCGACCTGCTTTTCGTTGACATGGTGTTCTATCTGTTAGAATCTTAATATCCTTGAAAATCTGT